CAACGACTGCAGTTGTGGATTTGCCGGGGAAATCTGTACAGAGAAGCCTCGGAAAAATGTGAACATGCCTCTTTCATGGCTGGATAGGGATTCCGGACGACGCCCGCATTTGTATCTATGTGGAACTGATTTAACCAGGGTAACGGAGTCCACCATGAGAACCTCATTCAGGGTGGAACCGTGTAGAGCTGGTGAAACCTGCAACTTGTGTGCAACCTCTCGACTGTAGTTAACGACTTAGAAGTTTGTAAATAAATGCACAATAAAATCTTGAAAATTTTCGCAAAGACTCGTTATAATCTTATGAAGTTGTCCATTTCAGAGGTTTCAGTTTGTGGGAAATTCCCGCTGGAATGGGATAGCTTCCCATAGATTTGCTGATTTGCAACTGCAAAACCATATGGTATATAATATATACCATATGGTTTATGTATGGTATATATTACGAACATGTGTCCATGTCCGTCCGGAAAGGTGCCTCAATAATGAAATCCTAGTCCAGAAGTATTCAAGTAAATTATACTCTGGAAGTACCCAGCTTTATGTAGATATAAATGTATTTATAAGATGTAAATTCTGGGGTGTTTTTTTTACCACATGATATCGATCTCTCGTCGCTGTTCGATTCGGCCTTTTCAAAGTCTGATTGATACTCCCGCAATCCAGTTACAAAGAATCGGAGGTGAATACCATTCTGGGTACACATTTTTAACTACATGTAACTGTAAGCCTGCTTCGGCTTGACTTGTACTGTGTAACTACACAGGATGGATAAGGCTTATCGATGTGTTAAGCCATCGATATGGGGAGGGAAAGAATCCTCTGTTTATGTATACTGGTACGCCATCCATAACAGTACTCAGTGGACCTAAATGGTATCATGTACGACAGGATATCAGGGGCTTGAAGGATCATTTTGGAAGAGGTTTATTGTACTGATTTATGGAAATTCCACTCATATTAGAAAATGATTGCACGATCTCTTGACATGAACACATCAATCAATTTTGATTCCGTGATGATCGTGAAAAACAACTGATGAACAAGGATGAGATCTGCATTTCGGTATTTAAAATGAAGAATGATGACCGTTCTATCCGTACTTTCGAACGACAAAAGAAAGTGCAAGTTGACAAAAGAGATAGAATTCTCGGACAAAAGGATTCCCATGTTTTGATTACAAGCTGCAGACAATGGAGCGCTCAGCCGGGGTTACAGCAGCGCTCATGTATCAACATCAGAGCGCTCAAAGCGGCACACGATCAAGAGTATTGCGGATGCTGGTCATGGCATCGACCAGATAAGGACGCAAAGACACTACCTGGTAGAGCTCAGGTGGACTCACCGTCAGTCAATCCCTATGACAGCGGGAAGCATGTTGCAAACACCCCTCAAATGCATAGCCATACCGGCAGTAATAATGAAAAGGCAATATTTATTGACTGATAAAATAATTTATTTTGCTGTCAATAATGCCCATAACCCGTTATTTATGTTTATTCTATTGAAATTGTGATAATTTATTGTGCTTGCGGGCTGGCTGCGACACATAAATTGTGAGTAGCTGAGCGAAACCAAACGTTTTTCGAGACAAATTATCCTAATAATGCAACCGT